CTATGGGTTGGAACTCGACGGCACTTAACAACAACAACAAAGTTTGACAAGGAGTGGGAAGAGGGGTGGAATGGAAACAGGAAGCATAGGGAGGAAGAAAGATGGCTGTTGTTGCAGGGAGGAGATTGCAATCACTGAGATGAAACGCAGTGGATGATTGTTGTCTATAAACCTTCACTCAATTCGCAATAAAAAGTGTTTTTTTAAAATTACTTTTACATTTGCACCACTCACTGTCTGTCTTTTAGCAATTCAGCTTCTACTCTTACTGCTCTCTCAAAACTGGCTTTCTCCATGACTGCTAATGAATTTCAAATGATTAAGCATTATGGTTGTTTTCATTTATTCTTATGTTGTTGTTAAGTGTCTTTGAGTCAGTTCTGCCTCATAATGATCTTGCAGAGGGTTTCTGAGGAGTAGCTGGTGGTTTGATCTGCCGGCCTCGTGGTTAGCAGTCCTGTGCCTATCCTACAGCACATCAGTCAGTCGTATTGCAGCATTTGTTACAGGTGACTATTCCCATTTCTTGGGAGTTTTGAATTTCTACCTCTCTGGAGCTTGCTTTTTTTTTTTAGTTACATCTTCTTTCTTCTTCCATCTTCTCTTGGCTCTGGGATTGAGCAGTGGACAATAATACTTAGAGTTCTTATATCATTTTTCTTCTAATGGAAGAGGCTGAAAATAGCTAAATGAATATACAGTAAGAGGGGGGGGGACTTCAAAAAGTTCATGGAAAAATGAAGTTAAAAGATTTTACATTAAACAATGGTTGTTATGAGTTTAAATTGGCAGTCAATTCAAATTAACAGTAGACTTTTAATCTAATAATATATTTACTTAGTTTATAAAAGAGGTAGGATAACAGAAAGTACAGCATCTAGCTCATTGAGAGATCAGTTACCCTACCCAAATATAAACTTTCTTTTGTTACCTCTCCTGCACAGGGACTATAAGAGTTAGGCTGCTACGGATAAGAGGCATGGTATATGTAAGTCACCTTGACAGAGAAAATCAGCAACCTCAGTTTCCCACCATGGAATCATGAACTCCAGTATGCTAACTCACATTTTCTTCAATTCAGATGTTACTCCATACAGCAGACAAAGAAGACACAACACTCCACACTTACTTTAACTCTCTATTTTCTAAGAATACAATACTGTGGGAAGTCAGACTCTAAGGTCATTCCCACAGGTAGACCTGGATCACCCCAGAGTTAATGTGAACTCTTTACTCAAGACAATGAGAAGTACTATGAAGAAAAGTAGAGTAACGGGAATAGAGAGTACTTGGTTTGGGAAGATGGTTGCTCTGTAAAACAAAGAAATCAAGGAAGGCCACATTTGAACAGAGACCCAAGGGATGCTCAGGTACAAGCTGTGGGGAGAAAAGTGTTCCAGACAGAGGTTTCTAAACCCTTGAGAGCATGTTCAATATGTTAATTGAACAACAGGTGATTTGGTATGCTTGCAATGGAATAAGGAAGGGGAAAAATGACAGGCAATTAAATCAGAGCAGCTAGAAAAGGAGCCCAACAATGGATCTTGTTGAACTTTGAAAACTTGGAGTTTGCTTTCCAAGTGATATAGGAAGCTGAGGTGAGAGAATGAGCAAAGAATTCAAATAGTCTGATAGATGTTAGAAGAATTATTCTACCTGCTATTGTTGTTGTTAAGTGCCGTCAAGTCAGTTCTGACCCATAACTACTCTGTATAGGGTTTCTGAGGAGCACCTGGTGAGCATGAACCACCAACCATGCAGTTCAGGACTTCAAAAAAATCTATTATCTTTTCATTTTATTTTTCCATGAACTTTTTGAAGCCCCCTTATATGAAGAAAAGGAGATGAGTTAGGATTATATTAAATCAATACAAGTGAAATTGATGGTGTCTAGGATGGTGTGCCACCCTTCATCTGTCAGTTTGTAGTACTGTAGTGACTTATGTGTTACTGTGATGCTAGAAATTCTACCACCAGTTTTTCAAATCATAGTGAACAGGTTTCAGCAGAGATTGTGGCAGACTAGGGAGAAAAACATGGAAATCTAATTCTAAAAGAAATAGCCAATG